GCTTGTTAAAACACAGATTGCTGGGCCACATCTCCATTTTCCGATTCAGTAGAACTGAGTGGAGCTCAAGAATATGCATTTCTAACAAGTTCTCAAGTGATATACAGGTTGCTGGGCCTGGGACCACATTTTGAGAACCGCTAAATTAAATCCAATTGTCTCCTCTCCCATTTCTCACTTTCCTTTCCCTAGTCAACTTCTTTCTAAACATCAAAAAAAAAAAAAAATACTTAAATGTGTTTTTTAAACATTCTTCTTTTAAAATATTTTAAAGTTACACAGTAACACATGATCATTGTATCAAAATTAGTGAAAAGAAATTGGAACCCTCCTCCATTGCTGGCAGGAATGTAAAATGATATTGCTGTTGTGGAAAACAGTTTGGCAGTTCCTCAAAGTTACCATATGGCCCAGGAACTCCACTCCTAGGTATATACTCAAAAGAACTGAAAACATATATCTGCACAGAAACTTGTACATGAATGTTCACAGCAGTGATATTCACAGTAGCTAAGAAGTAGAAACAATTCAAATGTCCATTAATAGATGGCTGGATAAACAAAATGTGATGCATCTATACAATGGAATATTATTTGGCAATAAAAAGGAATGAAGTACTGATACATGATGAACTGCTAAAACATCATTCTAAGTGAAAGAAACCAGACACAAAATCCCACATATTGTATGATTAAATTCATAGAGTGTATAGAAAAGGTAAATTTATAAAGACAGAAAGTAGATTAGTGGTTACTTGAGGTTGAGGGTGGGAATGGAGAGTGACTCCAAATGGGTATGAACAACTTTTTTTAGAGTGATAGAAACATTCTAAAACTGGATCGTGATGATTATTGCATGTCATTGTAAGTGTACTTAAAACAAGTGAATTTATGATGTGTAAAGCTGCTTGCATTTCTCTATGCACCTCCCTTACAGACCATCATGCCATCTACTTTCTATGCTTACCATTTTACTGAATTTGCTTTCTGAAGATCATTTGTGATTCCAAACTGCCAAGGTCATTAACAGTCATCTCTTTATCTTCCATGAGGGTACAATGGCAAATTTTTCCTTCTACTACTTCAGCTGTTTAACCCTTCAGTTTCCTTAGCTGTTCTTCCTCATCCTATCCTCTGGCTGGGTGTTTAACAAGCCTCCTCCAAAGGATCCATCTGTATCCTTCACTAACTTCAAATACAACATATCCCAGTTCAGATGCCTTATCTTCTCCACCAAACCAGCTCCCCTTCTCAACTGCCCCATACATGTCAATAACTTTCTCCAAGTCACCAGGGTTCAAGGTTATTTTTTATTTATCTCCTTTTATCTCCTCAAGTTTTAGTCACCAAGTTTTCTCTACTTCACCCTCAAAAGATGTCATGTATTTGTGAGCAAATAATCTGAACACGCAATTCACATGAGAGAAGCAATGCAGATGTTAAATAAACACAGAAAAATGTTCAAACTAGAATGATCAAAGGAAGCAAATTAAAATTCTAATAGGTCCCATTTAAACCCATTGCATTGGAAAAAGAAAATTTTCTCTGGTGACAACATTTCAGGAAACTGGTACCCTCTTGGAGAAAGCAGTTTAGTGAAACCTATATAGAACTATTAAAATATTCATATTCTTTGAACTCGTAATCTCAACTCCAAATAATTGCTTCTAATGAGACAATTCAAAATGAGAAAAAAGCTATAGCTACTCAAAATGTTTCTGCAGCATTACTTTATAATGTCAAGAAATTTGGAAACAACCTAATTATCCAACAATTTGGAAATGATTAAGCAAATTAGAGCACATTAAGCAGGTGAAATATTATACAGGCACTAAAAATTATGACTATTAAGAAAGCCTGCATAGCAACATGAAAAAAATTGTTTACCAAGTAATGCTTAGAGAGGAAAACAAAGCAGAACACACAAAATCCCATCTACATAGTTATTATTATCATGTCAAAAAATCTCTATATCTATAGATAAAGCTGACAGGGAAATGAAAATAATCAGGGTGTTAAGGTGGTAGAAATAAGACTACTTCTTCTTCTGCTTTTAATTTCCTGTAATGTTTTCACAATAAAAAAAACTCCCCCCCCCAAAAAAATCCCACACATTTATCTATTCTTTCTGCTCCATTTATATTACACCTCCGCCTCCCCAATCTAGGGCCACACTCTTTCATGCTTGGAACACTGTCCCTAACTGGTCTCTCTTCAAATAATCTCGGCTGCAAATGTTGCCAGGTTGCATAAAGTGCTACATTTATCATGTCACTTACTGGATCAGAAACCTTTCATTACTCCCATGTTTGTGGTCCTATCTAGTTCTCAAGGCCTACCTAGCCTGGCCCAGTGCATCACTATTCACCTTTCTTCTCTATTATTGCTGCTCTACTGCTGCTGCTGTTCCTTTTCTTTCTCATTACAGCTAACATTTAATGAGAGTTTACACTGTCAGACTTTTCTCTAAATACCTTACATACATTAACTTATTTAGTCCTCACAATAAACATTTGAAGTAGTTACTCTTACCCTCCTACCCCATTTTACAAATAAGGAAACAGAGATGGTGAGGAGAGAGGAGAAGGGGGAAGAGGAGGGGGAAGGGAGGGAGGGAAGGAGAGGGAAGCTTGCCATGGCCACATAGCTAGTGAATAGAAGAACCCAACTTTGAACTCAGGCAGAACTGACTTCAAGGCCAGAACCCCCAGCAGGGGTTATTCCTCCAACACACTCTGCTTAGTCTCCTCTCTGGGCCTTTCCTCCTGTAGCTCCCAACCTTCAGGGGTTTTTTTAAACCCTCCAGTGAACTTAAATAGGGCATGATAATACTGATCATGTATTGGCCCCTTACCATGTACCAGACACTCCTTTTTTAAATCCTGTATTTGGCAGGGCTTCGTATTCCATCAACTTGTGTGAGGTGGTAAAAACTGGGTTTAAATCCTGGCTTGTCCCTTTATTAGCTGTGAGACCTTGAGTAAATTACTTAGCCACTCTGAACTTCTGATTCTTTATCTGAGCTAGTGGTTCTCAAAGTATGATCCCAGAACCAGCTGCATCAGTATCACCCAGGAAGCTTGTTAGAAATGCAGATTTGAGCTCCACTCCACACCTACCGACTCACTCCCTCTGGGGCAGAGTCCAACTATCTATCTGTGGTTTAACAAGCCCTCCAGGTGTTTCTATTGCACACTCAAGTTTGAGAACCATTGCTCTAGTTATAATCATACCCACCTGACAGAGTTGTTAAGAAGATAAAGCATAGCATAATACATGTAACTCAGCTTGTGGCTCGTAGGTTATTTTGCAAGTGGTAATTTATTATTTTTGCTATTTAACTTTGTGTAGGTTAGTCTTTCCTTCTCAAGCCGTAGGCAGGCACTATGTTTCCTGCTGTTCTTTTGCTGGTGTTTTCCACTTTGCCCACCAAGCAAAAGGCAGGACCTATACCAGAGGTAGTTATTGATAATTGTCTCCCAGTACCCTCCCCAGCTTGTTTTGTACTACTTAGCTTTTCTATTCCAAGTATTTGCCTAAGAAACAAGTTAACTTAATCCGTCTTTTGTGACCTTCATGACACAGACCCCATCAACATGGTCACAGTCACGTGACTAGCCCACCCACCTGCCTGCTGACCATAACCTGACTTCAGTACCTGTGCTCTGTGTCCCCTTTGTGATGACGTGGAACAGACCACCACCCAGTCATCTCAACGACCTGCCCCATCAAAGGGAAGGCTTAAAAGCATTCAACCTCAAGCAGTCATTCGCCATTGCTTTGTTAAACTCTGGTCTGGTTATGTGGCTCTTTGAGCTATGGTCGCCATTGTTTTCCTAGCTTTGGCCCCCTCCCTTACCTTGGGGAGGTGAATCTTCTCTCTCTCCAATTTACTTTCTAAATAAACTATATTTTCCAATCTAACTTCTGTGCAATTCTTTGTATCTTTTGTGGGGCACTGAGTCGCAGACACCCCTGTCTAGTCTGAACTAACATTTTGGAGGCCCTGCTGGGATTCTGACCTAACACTAGGTTTTCAATACAGTCCTTTTACTTCACTGACTAATTGGTAAAGAACTACTTTGCAGCCGGGCTCGGTGGCTCAGCCTGTAATCCCGCGCCTTTGGGAGGCTGAGGTGAGTGGATTGCCTGAGCCTGTGGGCAGCGAGACGTCATCTCTACAATAAATCAAAAAATCAGCCGGGCGTGGTAGCGCATGCCTGTAATTCCGGCTACTTGGAAGGCTGAGGGGGAAGGATCGCCGGAGCCCAGCAGGTCGAGGCTGCGGTGGCCGGGAGCGGCCACTGCACTCCAGTCTAGGCGACTGAGTGAGACTCCAACTCAAAAAAAAAAAAAAAAAAAAAAAAAGAACTACTTTGCGGGAGCACTGTAGTGTAGTATAGTATCTCTGAAGCTAGACTGCCTGAATCTATTCAACTTAATAGTTATAGGAGTTTTGGCAAATTAATTTATCTGTATGTGTCATAGTTTCTTCTCTCTGTCAAACAGAGAGACTTAAAGTACTTACCCCCTAAGGTCATACTGATAAATACATACCCATAAACGACTTTTGAATGGTGTCTAGAACAGAGCACTGTGCTCAAGAATGTTAGCTAGCATTATTACTTTTGTGCCATTTAATGATGGAGGAGACTCCATTTCTTTATTTGGCAAGCAAATGACAAATACCTTTTGAGCAACTTCTCTGCATCAGGCACTGTCTGATCAAGGTATGGTCTATGATCAAGGTATGGTCTTCTCTCTCTAAGGTCTCAGTCTAATAGAGGAAACTTGTTAGACCATATTCCAAAATGTCCTAGAAATTAGTTTGGTTTGTAACCAGCTGTATGGGGGAGCTGAATTACATCTATGGCATCAAGCCATTGGTATGGACACCAGATCAGTTTCCTCAAAGGAAACTAAGCAAACCAAAGACCTTAGCAATTTCTATAGGAGTCCCAGAGGCACCAACTCACCCCAACTCCCTGAGTGGTCACTTACCTCCCTGACTGACTGGTCTTCCTGTTTCCTGTTATTGGTTTCCATTTGTCCCCAGGAAATTCCTGCAAAGCAAAATTCTGATAAGTTTAGGGAGCTCTGAGCAGCCAGGTATCTAGATGACCTCAAAAATGTGAAGAGGTTGGGAGTTTGTCTCTGGTCAGCCCCCAAGCTTGTTCCTTCTACTCTCCTACGCAGACTTGAGAAATGTAAACCTGGAGGGCTGCCTTTCTGTCAGAAGGCCTGCTAGGCTGCTGCGGGCATGCAGAGATTAAGAGAGCACTCAGGGACCTGGGACACAGCAGTCTAGAAACACTGTGTTTCCCTCTTTCTCCACTCCCCTCCCAAACCACGTTAAAAACCAGTTTAGCACGTTTGCTGTTTGCTCTGGCTCTTGCCTGCATCAAAGAACGGAGGTCTTTTTGTTTGTTCTACTGGGTGAACCTGCTCATTCTTCCTACCTCTTCCAACAGAAAAAGCATCTTCTTGGACACCCTAGCCCTTGAGGGGGCTTTGAGGGTACAAGCTCCTGCTGTAGCAACCCTCTCCCTGGGCGAGGCAGAGGGAGAGCAGGCATGCCAGCACACCCCTGACGACAGTGGCTCTTCCTTCTCTGCTTGTAACTGCTGGCAGGGGCTGAGGTGGGCTCATCTGGGGCACATACATGCTGGGTGCCATGGTCCCCACATTACATTTCCCAGGTTCTCTCGTGGTCATCTTTTCCTTAAGGGCTATGCCCAAGCAGCTTTTTTCCTTCTAAGCCAAGCCATATGTGTCATTTGTAAAAAAAAAAAAAATCCCTGCCTTCCAATTCTAGCCCCAAATTGGATGCAAATTAGTCTTTCAGATTCTCCCTGATTTTGTATCCCGCACTCTGTACCTAGGGACTAAGAGCTTAGCCCAATGGGAATGTACACAGTTCTTTCTAAAGCTCACTGACCTTCCAAATTCCCTCTTTCTCCAATGCTATTATTATTAGTCCCATTGAAAGTTTTATTACTTTTGCTTCAGTGGGCCTCCCTTTGGGGGTAAGACACCTGGTGAAGTAAAATAAACACAGGTTTTTGGTATCAGTCATACAGGCTAAGACACTTATTAGCCATGTTATTTGAGGGAAGTCATATCACCTCCCTGAATCTCAGTTTCCTATCTGACAAATAAGGATCATGCTATCTAGCTTGCTGGGTTACTGATAGTGAGGATAAAGTGAGATGTGCAGAGAGAACACCTAGCACAGTATTGGGCACATAGGAGGCTCTGGATGTTAGTAGCCATGGAAAAGTTGAGGCTCATTTCCTGGCTCTGACTTCTAGAGGATCAGAGCTGTCCCTGCCTATATCTGGCATGTCAGAGCAGCTCTAACTACTTGTACTTCATGCTCTGCCTCAATGCCCTTGTGAGATGTTCCTGCCTGTAAAGATATCATTACTCGTTCAACCACAGTGAGAGTCAGGATTTCCTGTCCATGCCCTGTCTAGCCCTGTGGACATGCTCAGTAAATAGCAGTGGCCAAACCAAACAAAATCCTGTACTAACTCCCAACCACCTTTCCAGTTCCCAGTATCAACTTACTTTATTTCCTGCACCACTTAGATTCCTGTACATTGCCTGCGCCCTTTGAACCAAAGAGGCAGTTATCCCCACGACTTGTTGCAGACAGAGCTTGTGGTGGAAATTTGCTGCCCTGGTAGAAGTGATACTGCCAGAAGGCATCCTGCTACACTAGAGAGGACCTGAGCCTTGTGATCAGTTTATAGAGAGACAGTGAACACAATCAGGAGTTTGGCCTACGAAGCTATGCAGCATGAATTCGAATCCCACACAGGTCCTTTACTTGTGGCCTCAGGCAGGATGCCCAACTTCTCTTTAACTCAGTTTCCCCAATTATATGATAGTGTAATCATGATAATAAGAGATTGCTTGAGGAATCAATGAGTTGATGCATGTGAGCACCTAGAATAGTGCCTAGTGCCCAGTAGACACTCAAATTCCAGTTATTGTCATGTTGCTGTAATACTGGCTCTGCTACTTGCTAGATTTGCGACCTCTCTGAATGTCAGCTTCCTCAGCTGTAAAATGGGGGATCCTTTTATAATTTACCTCAAATAATCTGACAATGTATACAAAACTAACTGGCATGAAGTATGAAGAACGTAAGTGCATGCTGATTTCAATTCTCCTAACACAACAGGAGCCCATTAGCTCACCCACCTTAGCCAGGGGCATCAGGAGCAGGACCTCAGCTCTACCCGAGACAGTCATCCCCACAACTACCTTGGTCATTGGAACTGGAACATCTTAACCTATGCTGCAAGTTTTTCCCATATTTTGTGGAGGGGTGGGAGGGAGCGTTCAGGTGGCAAGGCTTGAAATGGGCATGCAGTAGCTCCTAGACAGTCATTCACATGTCTGGAAGTTTAGTGTCTCAGCAGACCTGCTTAGTTAGTCTAACAGGCATTAGGAACCCAACGTGTCCCTCCCTCGGAATATAAAAGGACAGGCATGGTGTAGGCACAGGTTCATCTGCATTCCTGCTGCCAGTTGCTGCACCCTGCAAATTGTACCTCTGGCTGGGCTTGGTGGCTCCGCCTGTAATCCCAGCGCTTTGGGAGGCCGAGGCGAGTGGATTGCCTGAGCCTGCGGGTTCGAGACCTGCCTGGGCAATTTAACGAGGCCTCTCTCTACAATACATCAAAAATTAGCTGGCGTGGTAGCGCACGCCAGTAGTTTTAGCTACTTGGAAGGCTGAGGCGGAAGGATCGCCGGAGCCCAGCAGGTCGAGGCTGCGGGGGCCGGGAGTGGCCAGTGCACTCTAGTCTGGGCGACAGAGTGAGACTCAAA